ATCAAACTTTTCGACATGGGCGGCGGTGTCTGTGATGTGCCTTCTGCATTTGCTTTGTTAGTTTTTCTCGCTCGTTTGGTTCGTGTTTTTTTCGCTCGTTTCCCCAAAAAAATTGATGGATTACCTTGGCCCCCCATCCCGCCATCCCCCCGAGAACCAGGTGATAAGAATTCTTCAGCTTCTGCTCGCCGCTTTCCGCTGCCGGCGATGATGATGTGGCAACTGTTGCTTTTGTTGGCCGCCTTGATTTATTAATTAATTATGTGCGGACGGAAACTGCGTCATTACGCGGAGTGTCGGGGTGGCGGAGTGTCGATAAAATGGCTAATAGGGCGCGATAACTTCGATTCGGCGGGCGGCGGGAGATCATTGGTCGTCGGCCCTTTTCAAGCGGTGCGGCGGCAACAGTTGAAAGAGCCGTTGGTGGAGCCACCCACAGCCGCTCAGGGTCTTCCATGTTTGATGTGGAATTTTGGTAGTCTATTTTTGTGGGTGGCTCCATCGCCATTCCCAGATTCCTTTGAAGTCGTTCCGCCAAAAGGTTGAGCAATGCTAAATGGGTAAAAGAGCTACTAAAGTTAGAGGTAGAATTGGGTTAGTTGGTTTCTGACAGCTAGAAAGTTCCTAGTGATGTGTGGTTGAGGATTACTTAAGGAAAATAACAAACCATCGCCTTTTGAATCTTACAATTTGCACTGCCTTCAACATTCCCTTTACAGTTTAGTAATACGAACTAAGTTAAGTTTAAGTGCCTAGATGCTGTCTGCGTTTAACTTGAAATCAACTAATATATGCATTCCCGTTTCCGTTGATCCTTTGTGCCGGAAATGACAACCCATTTACATCATTTACCATTTCCCATTACATTTACGGCCACCAGCCGATTGATGTCTGTCCATCGGGGGATAACTGCACCCTTAATTGATTATGTCTAGCTTATTATCTCCCGAGTCCAATTTCCATCTCTCGTGGTTCAGAACTCTGCCCCCCGACACCTCCCCCTGCCCTTACCACTCAACTCAAGGTGTAATTACTATGGGGAACAGCTGATTCTCCTAGACAATGTCCCAAAATTGGTCCCAAAATCCCAAGGAAGTGCAACAGTCGAGAGGGGAAGTCCTTTCGCTCTCTTTCTCGATGTCCTGGGGAAATTGCGTAGCCGACCTGTGCGCATGTAACACATAGCACATACAGAGGCGACGCCCCCAGACTATGGCACGCCATCGGGGGGCGTGGCTAGTGAGCAGCGAGTACCCAGCGAGTAAGCCAATCGGAACGGAGTGAATAATCAGCGAGTTCTCGGCGAGTGGCTGGAGATAAGCGCGCGGGGAGGGAAATACAATATCCGGAGTCAGGAGTCCGGAGTACGGAGCGAAATGTGCGTGAGTTTTCCGCTCCTTTTTTCCACTCCTTGCTTTCCGTTCTCGGCATTTTCCGCTCCTTTTTCCACGTGCCGTGCATAAATCGGCCAGCAATCGATGTAACTTGCGCCCAGGAGGAGTTCCGAACAGATGTCATCATATTTTTCTGCAGGTTCCGAAATTATGCGGCTCCTTTGGTGTCGCTTAATTTGTTTTTCCCACCCTGCCGTTCCCTTTTCCTCCCCTCCCCTCCACCCACCTTTTTTCCAGCTTCCTTTTTTTCGACGTGTGCCAGCGACTTGGTTACAAGTACTTTACGGTAATGGAGGATTTTCGCTTGAGCATCCTCTAACAGAAATTAATTTAAATCGATATGCGGCCAGAGTGGCGCTGTCTACGTGGCCATGGGTGTGCCAAGGGGGCGGTGGGTGGTGAGTGGTGGGTGTGCGTGGCATCCTGGCCTTTATTAATTAGCATCGTAATTTATTTTGGCGGTTTGATTGAGCTGAGGTGGCTGAAACTTCCCGGCGATGCGGATATTCCGTGTATCTCTGGCATTTCCAATGGCAATGTCAACAAGGACATGCCACGCAAACTAATGCACTGAACACACACACACTGACGCACTTTTTTCGAGGATGAGAAAACCCTTGCCATGTTTGCAGAGAAAGAAATGAGTGATGATCAGTCTAAGCCTTCATAAACCAGAAATATTCCCCAAAACTTCTAGTCTACGACTGCTAGTTTGAAGTTAAATTTGATCTCAGAGTTCTTCCACTGAAAGGGCATCTATAGTTTCCAATATCTTCAAAAGTAAACCTATTTTTCCAGTCCCACATCTCAGTTTTTCTCGCAGTGCACGTGTGTTTGTATAGTTTATTGACTGCTTGAAGGGAAGTGCTTTCCATAGAGAAACGGAGAGATTTTTCGCTAAGGAATGTAAGACTGGCCGCAAATCCTGAAAATTGACTTCGTCCTCAAGGACAGCGGGGGATGTTCGTGAGCTGGGTGGGGGTTGAATAGGGAGAGGGGCAAAGGGGCCAAGGGGGACCTGGGGGTAAACAGGAAAGGGAAATCAATGCCGCCATTTTGCGAAAGAGTTGCCAGAGAAGCCGCTCGCTACCCGCGTGGTTTTCCACCATCATCATAAGGCATACAAAATTAGTTCAGTCGGCTGGGGATTTGTGAGCTGGGAAATGGGCAGTGAAGTGGGGAAATGGGGATGTGGATGCGAGTGTGAGTGCGAGTGTGGATGTGGAAATGGGAAAGTGAGCCCGCGTCTTTGTTGCTGTTGTTGTCGCATCTCCCTACGCACCATCGTATTTCATTTCGTCATGTTTCGGGATTAGGCCGGATTAGTTTGGCGACTGAGCAATGGCTCCGAAATGCTCTGAACTTTTCAACTGCGCTGCCTGTGAACTTTTCGGTAGTTGCTTAAAAAAAGCAGAAGGAAGGCGGCCGGGGGAAGGTCGGAAAATGTGACGACGCGAATGTGTGTGGATGTAAATCTGAAAGGGGGAAGCCCATTTCTCCGGATCTCTGACACTTTTGCGCGCCTTGGCATTTCAATTTCTTGAGGTGCGTGCGACTGCTCGAATGTTCGGCATTAAGTTTTCCTGTTGCCAGCATCAAAGGATGATGAGTTTTCCCCCGCGCCGCCTGCAATCCGACACTTAAGAGATCCCCCCAAATGGCAGACACACTCCCCGGCACGTAGTCCCCATTTGGGTAAAAAAAGAACGCCATTTTCTTTTGGGTTCGCTAGATAACAGTAGATACCGCGAAAATACTCCCCTTCCCTGTTCGATATCGGGAAGTCTAAAGTCTAATTTCGGTTGCCCCTCTAATTGAAATTCGACCTGCCAAATTCCCACAGCTCTGGACTGGAAATAGTCATCAATGTAAAAGTGAGGAGATTAGGCCAAAGGACACAGAGAAGGATGTGTAATTACGTCGTCATAAACTCAATTCCCAGGGGGCTGAGAACCCTTTCAGCGGGCAGCAGTGAAAGTCGGACCTTGCACCACAGGTGGAGATTGGAGAACCCTTTCCTTAATCATTACATTGGGCCATGTCATCGTCACTCAGGTGAATTTCTCCCCTTTGAGTGGGCGGATCGCTGGAGTGCCGCCCTTCTAACATTGTGCCACATTTATGTAACCCCGCGAGTGCTGGACGGTGAGTTCAAAGCGCCTTCACCGCCGCAGCAACTCGAGGAGGTCTGACCAACTCGAGTGGCTTTTGTTTTTCGAGGGCCTCCGCTCAAGGCGATTATAAGCTGAAGTCTATCTGCAATCTGGGTTATGCCAGTCTGAAAGGCAACGGAATGTATTGATAATATGGTGTGAATTGGTTTCCAAAGAGGGAAGTTCTTCTAAGATTTATTTTTATTTAACATATCTAAATCGAATTATAACATATATAAGTACTTATACAAAAAGCAGTTGAAATGTCTAAATTCTGCAAAGACAACACATTAACTTTCTCAGTTAACTTTCCGAGCTTCCCAGAGACTTTGAGTTATGACTTCCATGACCATTGGGAATGATGTCTGATTAGTTTAGTGGCAGATCAGTTGCGGAATAAAAGGCCATAAAGCTAGCATCATTTACATCCGTTGGCCTATCCCCCGTCCCCCAACTCCTTCCTTCCGACTTTTCTTTTCCCCTTTTTCCCAGCTAAACCCATTCCCACTCCAGCACTCGAGGCAGAAGATAAAACTGCCGGGAAAGGCAGGCAAATGCGAAATAAAAACGAAAATTATGAACTGCACAAAAGCTGTTGTGAATTTTAATAAATGCTGCCCTCTGCCTGCCTGGTTCTGCTGCTGTTTCTGTTTCCGTTTCTGTTTCTGCTGCCTTTGAAAGTATCTTTGTATCTGCGGCTGTGTTTCTGGGCCGCTGGCAGAGCGAACAAATCAAAAAGGGGAAGTCCCAGGGAGGAGGCACAAACGCAAGGATACGTCAAAAGGAGCAGTTATTTATTTATTTGCGAGGGGGGTGCAGGGGTTTGAGGGCTTCGCTTCCAGGGGTTCCATGGGCTTCAGGGGGTTAAACAGGAACAACAATGGCGGGCTAACGCAGAATAATGGGATAACAAAACGCCCTTGACACCCAGTAAAAAGACAGCCAGCCCTCAAAAGTGGGCAAAAGTAGCCTTATTATTATGAACACAGCACGTAGCAATTGTCCAGGGGCGGAGGGGAGGGACGATGCGAGAGGGGGCACCGAAGGGGGTTCGGGACAAAGGACAAAGAACCAGAACCAGAACCCCGAAAGTACAAATCAAACCCTCGAGAGCAGCCAAATAATAATATAGCGTCGAAGAGCGAGAGTGAGAGCGAGAGGAAGAGTGGCGCGAGAGGGAGAGCACAGCAATGGCGCAGTGCAGGCTCGAGGGTGTGAGTGAGAGAGAGCGAGAGAAGCGACATTCGGGGTGTGTCTTGCAGATACTCAGGGCTATCGCACCTCTCTGTCGCACTGCCGACGCTCAACGAGCTCTCGCTACTCGCCGGACGCAGACCATCTCCCTCACACCCTCTCGCTGGCGCACGGGGAAAAAAGAGAGATAAGATAGCTGCCAAAGAACGGGGCTCCTGCGCTCGAAATTCCGAGGTATTGCGTTCAGTAGCCGCGAGTTCTCGTCGCCAGCACCACGTTTACCGTTAGCACTGGCCCACCCACCCCGGGCACCCGTGCACCCCGCAGCGACCGTACAACCACCCAGAAGCACTCGCTGCAAGCGATACCCACGATATACACGCATCCAACAGATACTTTTCCGAATTCGTTTTCAATCCAGCTACGTCCTGTTACGGATGCAGACGCGTCGCCTCCGTTGTGATACCAGAAAAACCAAACGATACCAGGAGCCGAGCAGCAGATACCCAAGATTCGAGTGCCACAGATACTTAGCCTAATTACGCCGCGGATTAAATTATTAAGACTCTTAAATCCGCCAGGATTTGCCGATCAAATCACATCGAGCGAATCGAATCGAATCGAATCGCATCGCATCGCATCCAATCGAATTGAATCCAAATCATATCACAGAAAGTGCCGCGAGTGGCTGTGTGCGCGTGTGTGTGCTTTTGTGGAAACGGCAGCGAGATTAAAAACATATCCCCGAGTTACTTAAAATTAATCACTAACATAATCACTGTGATTTTTATTATTTGATCTGCGACGTCAACAACGCGTGTGCGAAAACTGTTTAAAGCTTAACGTTTTGGGCTCCATTAAAAGCCGTTTCGCATTTGATTAGCAATCTGTTGCAACATCAGCACAAACCTACATCGGTATCCCCGAGATTTATAGCCCACGCTGCCCACGCGATATATCCGAAAGAATTTCCGAGATTTTCCCAGATCTCCTGCGATTGAAATGCTGGCAATTTGATTTATTGACGGCCCACGACTTCTGCTCCGGTGGAAGAGCCATCAAAGTTCGCCTTTGACATTCCGGATCGACGGAACCAGCGGAGCCAGCGGAACCGACGGAAGTTCGTTCCCACCACCTAGTGGATTAATCTAAATTTCTCTCCCATCATTCAGAGGTGAGCTTAGATTTCAATACCTTGATCTTTAACTTTTTATATAATGAGTTTTAATCAGCTGAAAGTGTCGGTCGTAACTTTGAGAGGTGAATGATAAACAGGCCAATATATCAGAAGTTTCTTTTATGAATTCCCAAACAATAAGTTTAAGAAATTGCCTCTAATAAATATATCATCTCTAATCCAATCATTTGCATAACTCAGAAACATGTTGTTTAAAATACTATAAAAATTTAAGGAATTCAGTTAGATCGTCCAAAAAATCAAATTTATAAATAATTAATAGCAAATCCCTCAGCATTCCGTCTTGATCTTTTAAAAACGAAAGTAAAGCTGCCCCAAATAACACTAAACGCTAAGTGTTAGGTCACCGCAAACAGAAGTTTCCCCGTAAACACCGTCCTAGGAACTTAAGACCTCCTTAATGACAAAGTCAATTCGGCTGATGCTAAGGGAAATAGGCTAGCTTTCCAGGGAAGATCACCGAAGCTTCCCATTGAGAGCCTAGAGCTCCGCCAATAAACCGCTTGTTGGTCAACGAATTAAGTTTACGGGGCACTCTCACGCCGCGCATAAATCACGGCGGAGTGAGACCTGGACCCGGATTGCCGGATTGCGGCCATAAAGGCGAGATCTCGGCCATCTCGTACGGGGGCCTCTGGGCTTCTGGGCAGGTATTCTGGCATTATGAATACTGCCAAAAAAAAGCGGAGGAGAACCCGGCCATTGACGTCACCTGATTAGCAATTAGCAAACAAGGCATGGAAAAAACCTAAGTACACAGTGCTGGGATCGCCGGGCAGCCGCTAAACTCGAATTAGAATAAAATAATAAAATTAAATAGAAATGAAAACATGTGGAAAGCCTTGGCAAAACATCGGAATCTTGCCACCTTCGCGACGAAGAGGCCGTAAACCCACGAGATCCGTGCGGCCATAAAGTGGCATAAAATAATTCTGGCATTCTTTGTCTTAGGGAATCATTATGTAAATAAATTCTCACTTCTGAAATAAAATGACGAGGCAGAAAAGTGAAAAGTTGAAAAGCTGAAATGCTGAAAAGCTGAAAACACACGAAATAGAGCGAAGAATATTCTTTGGTGGAATGGAAGCAATGGCTGGCACTTTGAACTGGCAAGCGGGCAAACTGAGAAACGGGCAACGAATTATTTATTAGACGCTGCGGCAGATAATTTAGCCAGAAATCGAGACAACTGCGGCAAAAGCTGGGCAAATAACAGTATTATAAATATCGCCATAACGACAATAAATGCAGAAACTTTTCATTTCAACGGCTGGCCATCACTGCCATGGTGACCCATCAAAGTGCGGCCCATAAATTGGCTTCAAGTGAAATTATGTTTATCACGAAGGCTGCCTATTATTGCTGTTGAACAACCGCAAATGGATTTAATATTACAGCCGCACTAATCCACTGGGGATCAAGTGGAGATCAAGCGGCATTACTATCAACGGGCATGAATTATCAACGAAACCGAAAGTGACAACTCAAGCCAAAGCATTCCAATTAAATTTAATTAAATTCACTTCACTGCGAATTTATGCTGCCCGCCCGCTAGATTTATGAAATTCGAATTCGTATTCGTATTTGATTTCGTTCTCGGTCTCGTTCCGAATGCCTTTGAATGCCTTTAGTTTGTTGTGATTGAGATTAGATAACCATTTATTGCAACGTTTCGTTCTGTTTCTGTTTCTGTTTCGTTTCGTTTGCTCAGATAGCGGTGGTATAACATACATATATACGCCGGGCTCTCCCGATATCGGGCAAAGGGGCCTAGGAACCTGGAGAGGCGTTCCCTCCCTTTTCGCTAATTGATTTACGATCGTTTATGGCTATTTTCGTGCTACTGTCAGTGGGCTGTTTTTTATTTTTAACGAATTTATTGGACGCCCCTGACACAGTTTATCGCTCCACTAGCTGTCAGTTGCTGCTAGTTAGCCTTTCTACTAGCCAACCAACCGCCTTTCCCCAATTTCGATTTGCCAAAACCTCCCAGTGCCCAGAGTACGTGCAATCATAACAATAACAGCGGAGAAATGCTCGCAGAAATGTAAATATTTTACATCGATAAGGTTGTTATCACCCGGAGCCTCCCTCTCCGCCGCTCGCCAGTCTGCTGATAGCGGTGTAGGTGGCTGGGTGGTTCGGCGGTACGGTTGTCAGCCTGTTTGCCCCGCGCCCCACAAGATCCCCCCGAAGAGCTACAGCTCCAGCGCTCAGCCATCCCCACAATTTACGACGCCAAGCGAGCCAGTCCCGCTCTTCCACTCCGTTTGCCGGCGGCTCCAGCATCCGTGGTATTAACCCCTTGACGTGTTTGGTGTTAACTTGCCATTCGGCTGGTGTTTGGGTTAAGCTCCCTGTTTGCCTTCGCCGTTGAGGCGATAAAAAGCTCCACCAGTTGACTTGCCTACCAGGTAGCCAAACGCTAATTAAGTCTCAGTAGGAATGAACTCGTATGAGTAACTTAAACACAGGAGATATCTGGAAACTACCAAAGAATCTGTATAATCTATAAATAGAGAGGATCAAGTTAAATAAATACATAAACTTTATATAGATTTCATCTTTCTTTTGGTTTTCCTACCTTACAGATCTAAACTAAAGGCTTACGAGGTATTAATTATGTTTTTAAATCACTTAAAGGAATATATAAGATCATTTTCTCTGACTAATCAGATACTAAGCGATACCTACTCATAACCTACCCCATTCTCTTCCAGCTTTTCGGGCTCTGGCAACGGCTGCATCTTGGATTTGCTTTCACCACAGTTGGAAGATACCGGCCTCAAGACGACGACTTTCCTGCAGCACTTCAAGGACGTCGTCACGACGAAGTTCACGGGGAGGGACCACCACCTGCCGCCGCTCCACCCCGCCCACCCCGCTCACCCGGCGCACCAGCAGTCGGCGCTGCATCACCACCACCACCAGCAGCAGAGCTTCTCCACCATTTTTCCCACGTATCTTGGTATGGACCGCTCCTCCGCCGTCGGCGGTTGCGGCGGGGGCGGCGGTCTAGGAGTGGGCGTGGTCACTAGTTCGGCCACGGCCCTGGGACCGGGTGGTCTGACCAACGGAGGCGGTGGAGTGGTCAGCGGAGCACTAAACGGACTGGAGGCCATGTCGGCCGAGTCCACGGGCCTTTGCCTGCAAGATCTGGTGAGTGCTGGGACAGCAAACGGAGCAGGATCCGCAGGATCGGCAGAGAGTGCCACCACCACTAGCACGGCACTGAGCAGCGGCAGCACCGGAAGCTCCACGGTGAATGGAGGCGGAAGCAGTGCCTCCGGAACGGAGCACCTGCACAGCCACCACAGCCTGCACGACTCCAGCTCGTCGGTCAGCATCTCACCCGCCATCTCGAGCCTGATGCCCATCAGCAGCCTGACCCACTTGCACCACTCTGCGGGCCAGGACCTGGTCGGTGGCTACTCGCAGCATCCGCACCACACGGTGGTGCCGCCGCACACGCCCAAGCACGAGCCGCTCGAGAAACTCAGAAGTAAGTATCGAATAATGCAGGGGGGATTTTGAAAGAATAATAAGTTAAGATGAGTGATTATTTTCCATATCTTTTAGTTTAATATCTTTAAGAGGTTTTCAAAGAGATTCTAAAATGTTTCGACGAAAGACTGAAAACTGTTTGAGGCAAAGACTTCTTCTGATCAGAGCCATTTTGAGGAGACTTTCCCCACGTCCAAACGTATTTTTTTAGTAGTATAATGGGAGACTATTTCGTGGGCAATTTGTAGTGAAATTTGTGAGGGACATCTCAGGCATTGACAGCTAATTAGTGGGCTCATAACTCAGAGTAGAAGACAGTCCTCCCTACCAAGAAGATCCCATTCGATCCGAGCCATCAACAAGTGTCCACATTCTCATTGCTATTCATACCCAAGGCACTTTGCGGGCTTCTATTTCTTGCCTCTGTCAGAGGCAGCTGTTGTCATTTCAATATGCGATTCGTTTTGGCCATCATTCACGCTCCGTGCCAAAAGCTCGCTCCCTGGGCCACTTGTCGCTGCGCCCTTCCACGTCCCTCATGCATATTCATAATCATTGTGCAATCATTAGCGGATAATCTCCTCAGCAGCGTTACAAAGGGAGCAGCCAAAAAACAAGGAGGCTGCAGATGGAGTGGGAAATATCTAAACAAATTTCAATTTTGTGCGCATGTCACGGCTAATTGAGCACCCTTCTGGCGTAGTGCCGAAAGCAACTCTCTACCCTGCTCCCTGCTGCCACTTCCCTTTGGGTGATTCGTCCCCTGGAAACTCGATATGTGCATTGTAGTCAAGTGTTTGTTGTTCCGATTGCTCTAATTGTTATGGGAATTTGAACTCGGAGGAGGATGTGGCATCGGAATGGAGATGGCGATGTGAGCAGTGCCTCGGACTCAAGTGCCCGATATGCCAAGTCAATTGGTTCTGGGGAAGATTTTGGGTAGAAGTCAGGGCACTCCAGATGGGCACAGGGAACCTGTTGGACTGGGAAATATATCAAGATATCCATATCTCTTTCATATATCCAGATTCTGTCAAGGCAGAGGTAGATGTTCTTTAGAAAGCTTTAAAAGAAGAAGGGATCTGAGAGAGATACTTCCTGCGCATATGAACAAAACTTATATGAAAATGTGTGAAAAGAAGTTATGTAAGATTCGTGGCAAAGTTTGGTTGCCCCCCGAAAAGCAGTTCCCTACGAGTTTTCCACTTTTCCATTTGCATAAGAGATTTGTCTGCCCTCGCCTAGAGATTTGTTGGCTGTCGCCCTGTCAACTCAACTCTGCCCCTTCGGGGTTAACAGCCCCGGCAAACTTTGCACTTGTCTGCATCCCGGAATGCCTGGCGTGCCTGGCATCCCCAGAATGCCCGAAAAGAACCTCAGTGAACCCATGGCCACAGATGTCCTGCCATTTATTTGCGTGCCAAAACAATTTAGCACGAAAATGGCGAGCATTTAAAATATGCACGACTGCAGTTATCCTTTGACACCCGTACAAACACGTAGCTATTGGGAGCTGCAGGTGCGGGCCACGTTAACAGCTCGGAGCCACAAATTTCCACTCCTGTCCGCCAGTTTTCCCCTGTTTTCCCCCATTTCCTCTGCCAGTTGTTGTCGTTATTGTTTACGCTCTTGTTTAAATAATGGCCACGCAACGTGATTCTGGCCCTGCTGCCGGCAGGATTTTCATCAGACTCCTCCAGAACTGCAGCGCTGCAATCGGATTTTCAATTATTGGCCAATTTAATGGTCAGCCTGCAAACACCCACACGCAACCCGTTCTGCTATAGATACTCGTATTTATTTATGTGTATTTATATGTGCGGCGGAGGTAATAATTTTTTACGATTGCACTTTTTTATGGGCCGGGCCGTGTTCCACCTTTTAGTTTGGAGTCGCCTCTTTGGTTTTATTTTCGGTAGATCATTTTATGGCTTCGGTGCGTGTTTTTATTTCGCTGGCGGTGCTCAAAGGATTTCAAGTTCACGTTCTACACTAATTTGGCCCAGCGGAGAAAGACTTTTATTGTTAGGATGTGTAACTCTTTAATAGCTCGGGATTGTCGCCTAAATTATGTTGTCAGCAGCTGCGGGGCTGGCAGTGGGGCTGGCTCCGACCGACCTTGTCCCTTCGACTCTGCATTTCATATTTCACCATCGCGGCAATTAGGCAATTATCTCGGCTGTATCAGTGACTATATCAACACATATCCACTGGCATCTGTTTGCCCTGGGCAAACCAAACAGAACCCGAAACGAAACCGAAACCAAAACCAAAACCAAAACCAAATCAGAGCAGTTTACATTTCTTTTTTGGTTACTCGGCAAATAATAGAATGTTTTCCTATTCCTAGTTCTTTTTGTTTCTGTTTTTTATGGCCAGCTAGCTAGTCCTTTGCTTGTTTGCCAAGTCGTTGCCACAGATACGAGATGGAGAACTACGAGTATTTGCCCATGACGATGTTTGTGGCTGATGCCGTTGATAAAATTATGAAATTACTGGGCTTCAGTTCGGGTTTCTGGTGAAATCGTGCTGTTATCTGCTGTGTCTACACACGAATGTATCTGCCCATCTTCCCGCTAAGTGTTAATGGCACGTGCAGCCAGCTCTAAAATGAAAACACAGAAACACAGCAGAACAACAGAACAACATAAACAAAAGCCCAGACGAAGACCCCGCCTTGGGAGATATCCTCCAGATACACACCTAATGTGCTGGAGGAGGAGGGGTCCTTCAGGACTCCAGGACACCCGTACCTTGGCTACTTTAAATTCCGCACCAACGCTTGTATTTGTCAGGCCTGGTCTTTATGAATATAAATACCTTTTATCGATTTTCCGCTCGGCTCCCTGTTTCGCCGCTTAAAGCCTTAAAGGATATCCTCCTGCGGTCTGCGAACAGTGCATTGACCGCAAATCTCTGCGAAATTGCTCGCATATGTCATCGGGCACTGGCAAAAACAAGGATCACATACGAATGGGAAATGCAGTCACCCCGAGTGCCACATAAATTGCATTTGCTGACCGCTCAGGACAGCCTGCACTGTGGCACAGTGGTTAATGAAGAAGACTTAAAAAATGCTAATAAATATTAGAAATTCTTATCTAAGTGAAGTTAATTCAAATGCTGCTATGAATTATACTCAGGAAATATTTTTAAAGTTCAAGATATCTTCCTGCTTTTCCACCTGTTTTGCCCCACTGTGCCCTATAAAAGACTGTAACTACCGCAGAAGTTGCCATTTATCAATCCATCTGCACAGCTCTATCTCTCGCTTGCTCCTGGCTGGCACTGATTTCGTTTATATAAATTATAATGTCATTATGGCAACCAGCCACAGAATCCTCAACCCTCAATCACCATCCCCAATCCTCGCCGCTCCCCATTTCCTCGAGGCAATTACCTCGTTGCAGAAGTTCGTCGGGAAAACTTCATTCCCTATCCTTTTCCGCCTCTTTTCTCATTATCCGGGCATCGTGCAATTTCGTAAAAATGTCGCATTAGAGATTATCTGAGGAAACAAACTTGTCCGCCGGACAGGACTCGCAGGTCCTCCGGTCTGGTCCTTTGGCCAGCTTTTTGTTGGCTGACCCAATGGCAGGGAAGGAATTGGAGCTGACAGTCGGGCAAATTACTGGCCAAAGTCATTGCAGTGGAAAACTACAAGCCAGATAGAAGGGGGAAATCTAGTCTGGACAGAAAAACAAAAGCCCTGCCCTTTTTTGGGGTCCTTCTCCCTTTTGTCTTATCTGCAGCCTCGACTAATGAGTCGGGGTTTTTGGCCAGGACTCTCTATCTGGCTGTGGCCATTTGGCCATTTGGCCAAGGGTTGTACTCCATTCTTGGGACATGTCAATGTGATTCCCGAGATTTTTATGCGACTGCTCTCCAGTTGGCCAAGCTGGTCGAGGTGGTCAAGTGCCTGGAGCTCATTATAGGGCCATAACATACGGCCAGGGCCATTGTCTCGGCCAAAGGATTAGTCCTGCGAGACATAAAAGTTAAGTTGCACAGCCGTTGGCTAATTTTCATGACTCCGAATTGGGCTAATTTGCAGCGGGGGTTGCTTACGGGATTTTGCGGCACATGGCCAGCACTTTCCACGGACATCAACACCTCGAAAGCAAATGTGGCATGAAATTGGAAAAATATTTTCATTTGCGGTGGAGGGAGCAGCGCAAGTGTTTAACCCTTTGGTTGCCCGGCGAGTGGTTTACCATGAAAGCAACTCTCCTTCGGTCCCATTTCCGAATCCAATCTCAATTCCAATCCCAAAGCCCAGAACCCAAAACCAATCCCCTTTCAACTGTCACATTAATCGTTTGTTTTTGGTCACCAACTAAACGTTGCTTATGCTTGACATTTTCCTTTAACCATTTCCCTCCCTTGCCCGGGCATGTCCTTTGTTGGCTCGTCCTTTTATTTTTGTTTGTTTTGGTCTGCTGAGGCTTTCCCTCCGCTCCGACTGCTGAGGTTTTCCTCTGACAGTCTCCGTCTGCGTCTCCTGCTCCGGATAATTTATTGCCCCGGCTGCCGTGTCGTGTGTCAAAAGTTTTTATGTGGAAATCTGTCTATGAATGAGCCGTATGTGTGCAGGATGCTCCAGGAGACTGAAGGAGAGAAAAAAATACGAATCATTTTCGAATTTTTGTGCAGTTTCACTCGGGCGGGCAACCCTCGCTTGATTAATTGAGCCCGCCCCTCCTCGGGGAGTGTTTGCCTTTGACTTTTGTTTAGGATCATCACAATAGTCGCCAAGTCAAATAAATTTCACATTTACCATTTACCATTTACCATTGCTCATTTGTTTGCTCAGCGGCTAAATGCCGCTGCCGCTGCCACTGCTACTGCCACTGCAAAATGGCTGCCGTAGAATTTGGAAATGAAAATGTGAAATGTGAAATCGAGGAAAGCAAAAGTGACGCCGACACTTGCTGTCAGAAAACACAGAACTCTTGACATGTGCAAAATGCTCCCGACAAGCAACGCCCACCTCTATTGACACTTGCCACTCACCCGATCCCGATACCCACTCGAAAACCTTGAAAACATTGTAAAACTCGGGCGACAACTGGCCGACAAATGTCACCGCCAGCTGACAGACGGCGACAATTTTTCCGACCTGTCACAGGCGGGAAAACAAAACACCAATACCAGCATGAGCAGCACCAGCCACAGCATCAGGAAAATCAAAATCAAACTCAAATTAGTCGCTGGCCAAAATGCTCGGAAATATTTACACAAATAAAAATCGCCGTGCTACGTGATTTTCGCTGCGTTTTTTCGAATTCTCCGTATTTTTTCACGGTTTGTGTTTTTAGAGCGTGTCGTTAGGAAAATATTTTTACGATACCTAGAATGGGCGATGACGACCCATTTAGCTCAGGTCGGAAATCGGATTTGGGAATGGGAATCTGGGAGTCTGAGAGTCTGGGAGCAGCGGCTATCTATTAAGACTCATTCAGCTGTGTCTTCCAAATCAAAGGTTCCAACGAGGCGTTCAATAAAAAATGAAAGTGGAAATGAGGATGCAGTGGAATTGGTGCGGAAAGAGTCGTCTCATATAGCAAACTAACTTAATTTGTTAATATCTGAAAAAGATTTTCAAGCAGATTCGATTTTTGGAGGTTTGTGTTTATACGGCTGGTCACTGATTGGGTATATAGTGGACTTATCTGAAAGTTATAAAGTTAAATCCTTTGATCAAACTGCTATTTATCTGCCACCTTGTTTGTTTAGAAAATTTCCGCCCAACATCCGAGGCGCTCATAATAAAGCAATGAAATTTTAATTACCCCAAAACGCACTCATTAGAGGCCATAAAAATACTTTCCACGGAGACATTTTCTGGGAGAATTTTCCAACGGCATGTGAGGCTGCTTTCAGCGGCATAAATTATGCAACTGGCAATAAACTAATTGAGCCATGGGCCACCTCCAAAGGGGATGACATTTGTGACTCCTAGAGGTACCCAGGCCCCCACTTCCCCCGCCCCAAGAAGTACCAGACTAATTGTTTCAAATGTCTCCGCGGGTGTTTCCTCACTTTAAAAACCACATTAAAGTGACAGCATGTGAGAAAGCCATAAATTACCAGCGGTATGCAAAGGAAGTGGCCAAGAATACTTCGGAGGAAGTCGGGACACTGGGACCCTGGGACCATATGGGAGCACACCTTCTCCTTCGCTGGAAAACCCCTCGGAAATCAATTGCCAGGCCCATAAATCTGTGATGAAATCGGTTCGGGGTGAACCATGTCAATAGCTGACTAATTAATATCGAAATAGCCGTGACTAACTGCGGCAATTATTATGTGGCGAGGCAGCAAATTACTTGACTCATTTGGCGCCGCTAGATTTATGGGGCCAACAGTCCGGCCAGGGCGTTCCCCCTGATTAACCTTCCCCTTGGCAACTCTTTGAGCACGAACTGAAGTTCCTACAATCCTGCCCTGGAAACAATTAAGTTGGCCTCCTCCAGGAGCAATCCGCTTTTTAATCGGACTAACCAAGAGCCCATTTCAGGCTGCGGTGTCATAAATCGTTTTATGAGCTCTTTTACGGGCTCTTCCCTTCTCGTCTGGGAAATTGCCGAGAGGGGAAAGTTTTTCAATGGCTTGAGGCTTTTCACGGGGGTGAGATAGCTCTTAGCCTTTTAAAAGTGGCTTACCTTTTGTGTTAAGTTAGTCAGAATTACCATTAAGTTTGTAGTTGGAAACATAACTTAATTTCCGATATGATTTAAGAGTGAGTCAGGATTAGGATTAGGGACTATAAACATATATATTTTCTATAACATTGGTAAAACATAAATTTTTTTGTAATTTTCTCTTGCCTGCGCTGGCTTGTTCTTTTCAGTTTGGGCCGAAACCGGCGATTTCCGTGATAGTCATAGCTCCATGACCGCCGTAGCAAATAGTTTGGACAGCACCCACTTGAACAACTTTCAGACGTCATCGACATCTTCGTTATCGAACCGGAGTCGGGATCGCAAAGATGGTGAGTAGAAGTAGGAGTAGCTGGTACATCCGTAACCCCTGCCCAGAAATGAGTATTCCCAGCCCGTAGCCGCTATCTGCGGGCCGCCATCGATAAGGAACATAATTTATAATAATTTCGGAAAGCGTGGCCAACGATTCCACCTTTGTCGGCGAAATTTACTCGACCGGGTCCGTTTAGTTTTCGATTAGACTGCCTTTGATTTGCGACCTCACGACGACAGCGACAGAACCAGAAGCAGAAGCAGAATCGAAACCGAACGGAATGATATTTCACAGGGGCAGTAATTTAGTTTATTTGATTAAGTTTTCGGCAGTTTCGGTTGTGGTCTCGCTTCCCGGGCCCTACAGCACACTGGAAAGCACAAAAAGCACGCCGCATGATCGATGACATTCGGGAACATACATTAACTGGTTATAAATCTGTTTGCCGGCGGCCTGCCTTTGAAGTTTTCGGGGGTGGTGGGTGGCTAATGGCTGGTGTTTGCTGGCGACGCCTGAAGGTTGCATGGCAATTAGTAACGGTGCTCCGCTGACGCCAGAAACCAGAAGCCGTTCAGGAGACCTTTCCCTTTCTAGCTGCTTATCTAACTGCTTACTGCTTATGGCTGGCTACTAGCTGCTAACCCAGGCAAACCCAGACAGTGGCCGTAAAACAGCTTAGCTCATGCAACATGCATGGCAAAACATATTAGACAACCGATCTTCAGATTCTATATTCAAAGGGGGGAAGTGAGATAAGCTTATATATAAGTTTTAAGTGACGGAGTAATAAAGATCACCTTGGCTTCGCGTAATATTAAGAAGGAATTAGGTAATATATACTTTATATTTTTACTAATCCTACGATACCCTTCTTCCCCTCAGGCAATCGCAGTGTGAACGAGACCACGATCAAGACAGAGAACATATCAAGTTCAGGACACGATGAGCCGATGACCACCAGTGGCGAGGAGCCAAAGAACGACAAGAAGAACAAGAGGCAGAGGCGTCAGAGGACGCACTTCACCTCGCAGCAACTCCAGGAGCTGGAGCACACCTTCAGCCGGAACAGGTATCCGGACATGTCCACCCGCGAGGAGATCGCCATGTGGACCAATCTTACAGAGGCTCGCGTCAGGGTGAGTAAAGTTTTTACATATTTAAACTAATTAGAAAGGGGAAGTTCTTAAATATTTTTAAAATAATTTGAAATTGAAAAATGAGAAGAAGAGAAGAAGTTTAGCCAAGGTTTCAGTTCGAATCATTTCCATTCTCCTGAACCTGTTCCTTGCCTCAGACTTCACACCGACATTACCGCGCTGATGCTCGAATTAATTGCCGGCCAAGCCGCAAACGGCAAACAAACGCGGACCCGGCAGGCCGGCCACATTATGCGGCTATTATAGTCCGGGCCCCAATTATATTACGGACCGCAGGAGTCGCGACCGCAATGCAGCCGCACAGACTCGTAAATATGTCGCCTCGTTTGGCGTTGGCTTAAACCCAATATGGCCAATACGGCCGTACGGACAATATGGCCAACACTCGTCCCAAAAAGAACAGCCGATTTCCCTGCGCCACCGGGGATTTATGGGCGGCATTGGGGGTGAGGCAGGTCGGGGTGTTGCCATAAATTGCCGCAGCTAAAACTGCAGTTGGCAGCGTTTGCAGCATTTGCTGTTTGTAAACCGCGGGCTTATCGAACGGGCGACCTCAACTGAACCGAACTGCATCGCCTGGCGCGGAATCGGAGTGTTTGCTCAATATCCGTTCTATTGACACGGCCCGGGGCATTTGTCCACGTCGAGATACAATGGTAGTGGATGGTATTTGGTTAGCAAGGTATGTTATGTGGTTTCTATCTCAGAGAAGTTGGCTTAAAAATAGTCAAACTGCGAAATACTCTTTGCTGACAACCATAACCATAACCTTTGGTCATGATAGGATACTTTATAATTAAGGCAAGCTTGATCTCTAAGATTATAAAGAACACCAAAATCTAAACCCGATCTCTCACAAAAAGACTACTACCTATGTAAGGTAACCTCAACACCCAACTTCTTCGAATGAGAGTGCGTAACCTGGAAGAAGAACCAACAACAGGGGCCGGGAGCTGTCCAAGATATCTTGGCCACACAACAGTTGTAATTGTTTGTAAACACGATAGTTAGTTGGGCAAACAATTGGAGTTGTGGCGCCAAGCGGCAAATACTCCCTGATATCGGAGGTATCTGTAGCTGTATCTATTTCCATTTCCATTTCCACTTCCATTTCCATGCGCCGTGGACGTCAGGACGGAAAGACAATCAGCAGACAGCCGGCAGATATGATAGACAAATGATCGATGATCGCCGGTGATTGCTGATGGTGATCGGGTTTGTGATCATTGTCATTGGACGTATGGCGACATCAGCGTGGCATTAATTGTACAGCTAGAAGTGGTTGAGCCGAGGGCAATGGGAGCTATCAGCGGAATGCAATTAGCCGGGAAAAGGAGACCATCTGCGAGGAAAGGCCAACACTTCATGGTTTTCCTATGCAAATTTCCAAATACCCGCGCATATGCGCAGAAAATCCTTCGTTCGCCGAGTCCCCCGTGCACTTGACAACATTTATTAAGAAATTAGCTGCGGCCCAGAATGACAGGAGAATGGCAGGGGAGCCGGGAACGATGTCAATCTAAACATGTGTTCCTCGCATAAAGCAGCTAAACGCATAAAATATTGATACAGTTTGTTTTATGGTCCATTATATGATGATGACAAAACGTTCGGTTCGGCTAGCTCACTTTTCCGACTTTTCCACCCCTCCAAAAATGCAAAACAATGCCCGGACTATTTGTCATCGCGCTCCGAGCGAGGGTTGTTTAATGAATTAGAAAACCGCACACGAATTAATGATGATCGCGATCATGCCTCTGCGCCTGTCTGAGGGGTGGCTCACATTTGACTTTGACTCCGGATGCCCATTGTAATAGCGGAGGCAATAAAATTTATCAAATATACAAAAGGATTACGGGCCAGTGCAGCTACGTACCGGGATGGGCCGTATAAATCTGGCCGGGCTTTAAACTGTCAAAAAAGAGCAGCCCCGTCTGAAGGGAAGTTTCTGTTTCAGTTTCTTCTTCTTCTCGGCCCTGATAGCTACTAATCCGGGGATTTACATGCGCCGGCAATTATGGCAATATGTTCGCCCCGTCTGTCCCATTGTCTCCTCCCCCCTCTCTCCATTATCCTCCTTCCTATCCACTTTTTAATGTGTCAAATAGAACTCACTTTTTAATTCAATTACCAGCCAAAAACAAGGCCCATAAAAGCATTTGTCGCTGCCCTCAATCGGAAACAGAATGCCAGTAGAGATGGAGATGGAGTCGGTCCATGGGGTTGTATCGACTGGTTTTTGCGAGTTCCTTTTTATGGTCAGGTGTCGCCAATGGCCCGGAAATGGGAACAGCATTTGCCAATCGCTGAAAGTGTATAAAAAAGCCATTGAAAGTGGCCACAAAGGAGCCACAATATGCTGGCATGATTGCAGTTCGATTGGTTCGATGTGGTGGATAGATGCGAGGGGATGTAACTGAAAAGTTGAGAGGAAACATTGCTTTTTATGGGTTTAAAGAATCGAACTTATAGATGTGGAACTTGAGATATGAAGTTCCAAATAGCTAACGGCAAACTATAATGACCTCTTCAACCTTTTGACTTTATTTGCGCTTGTAATGGCCGTGATTAGGCTACCTTTTTGTTCACATATGTCCGTTTATCTGCCGCCGTAGTTGAGCATCGGACCAATTAATGCCGGCGATACTCCGGCCGGAGTGTAGCGATATATCTGTGAGGCTTTACAGGCAGTTGAGCACACAAAGAGACAGCGCCGCGTGGAGTAGTTCACGTATCGATGTTATCTGGTAATTTTCACTTGGACTCAGCTATCAGCCGGAGAGAAGAACCCCGGAAACGAGAAACGAGGAACGAGAACCCGTCCTATATCACAAATAAAAAACGTATTTAGCTGCAATTTGCGGCCATCAATCATGAGAGCCCGCACAAAAAATGAGGCCCTAACTTCTGCCACATGGCCACTTTTGGCCACTCATAAGCGACGTCGTTTGCTTTTTACTTTTGTGTCCACAATTTACCTGATGAAGCGTTGCAAGAATGGCAGGAGTGGCAGGAGTTGCCGTCGAGTGTCATTGATGCTTTCATCAAAACCAATTAGGATTTTCCACAGGACTCTGTGCCGTTGGGCGGAAAATTGCGCCGTTTTTTCCACTCTCTCATATTTCACTTTTTCACTTTTGCGCAGAGTCGCCAGTTTTCCCTTTTTTTCCTGCAGGCACATCAATTTGCCATCAGCATTTTCCATTTTTCCATTTTCCGTCTCCCTGAATCCTGTGTTTTTTGCAACTTTGCCAACTTGCTAAATGATACGTGAAAATGACAGCTGACGAGATCGATGACGTTAGTTTTGCATCCTTGATGATGCAGGAGATCCTTGAGCTCCTGATACCTACACCGATGATGATGATGATGACGATGGGGCTGAGCGATGTACCTTGACAAATTGACACATTGCCTTCGGCCAGGGGATTTGATTTAGGTCCTGGGAAAGCTGAGAAAATGGGAAACTCTCACTTTCGCCTGTGCTGGCAACCAGCTCATGCGATTTCAATTAACTGCCGCGACTAATTAGATTAAGGCAATTGCCGCGCTAAATTTGCTTGGCTGGCACGCGGCCATAGTTTTCCACTTGTTAGTGGGCTCGGAATGTCTCAATTTGAGTTTTCCCAGGCGAACAAACAAACACTTTTTGCATAGATCAACGCGTGTCGTACTTTAGTCACGGCTGTTACGGGGTTGGGGCAGTTTACAGGACGCAGGACATCCAGGATGTGCAGGAGGAAAGTGTGTGAGGAGAGGGTGCATTGGTGAGGAGACCTGCATTGGCCATAAATCTGCAACCCCGCAAACTGGAAACCAACGACCAACGCGTTGATTTAGGGACAATGTGGCAATGCGGCAACAAGCCATGAAATTCGAGTTTGCCGCTTTAATTGCCCCGACCAAATTGTATCTCTATCTGTGAGAACCTTTTGTGCCTCGAATGTATCTTAAAGCCCGCCGATCCGAGAGCAAGAAACCCATCAAAATGCTGCCAACGTCTGCGCAGCTCTTTGTCATTTGTATCTGTATCTGTAGCTGTATCTGGGCACGGGCGCAGTATCTTTGTCCGCCCCCAGCATCCGTATCTGTGCAAACTTCAGCCATAAATTACAAAGTTGCCATTTTGTTTTTATCTTCTTGGAGCGCTTTTTCTCTGCACTTTCTGTGTGCAAAATAATTTTGATTTATTTTTGCGCCCTCGCAACTTTTTCCCCAACACTCCCAGCCCCTCACCCGCTCAACCCCTCAGCTCCTCAGACTTTTCGGTGGTGGCAAGCCGAGTTTATTTATATAAAGCTCTCCATTAAAAAAGGCAGCCACGGGCTGACTGCGACTGTGAGTGGGACTGGGATTGGGACTGGGAGTATTTATGTATATATTTGTATATTTATAATTACTGCACATGCGTATTGCGGGGAGCGCCTTTTGGGGGAAGTTTCGCTCGTCGGCGCAGATACATAAATTTTCAAGTAATAAATTATAAAAGAAAATGGCCGTCTGAGGAGCTAAAAACTGCGAGAAAGTTGCATTTGGAACTTAGAATTAAAGTTTATAATTGATATTTTATTTAAAGAACTTTCACCTATTAGGAGAGACTTCCAATATAATAACTTCTTACTTTACCTTAAGGACCCTTTAAGTATCCAGAAAACTAATCAGTATCGCCTTCTCTTTTATCCCCAGGTGTGGTTCAAGAACCGACGGGCCAAGTGGCGCAAGCGGGAGCGCAACGCGATGAACGCGGCGGTGGCGGCGGCGGACTTCAAGTCCGGATTCGGGACGCAGTTCATGCAGCCATTTGCGGACGACTCGCTGTACAGCTCGTATCCGTACAACAACTGGACCAAGGTGCCGTCTCCACTCGGAACCAAGCCCTTCCCGTGGCCAGTCAATCCACTGGGATCCATGGTGGCTGGGAATCATCACCAGAACTCGGTGAACTGCTTCAACACGGGCGCCAGCGGAGTGGCGGTGAGCATGAACAACGCCTCGATGCTGCCGGGATCGATGGGCTCGTCCTTGAGCAACACATCTAATGTGGGGGCGGTGGGCGCTCCCTGTCCGTATACAACTCCCGCCAACCCGTACATGTACCGCTCCGCTGCCGAGCCCTGCATGAGCAGCAGCATGAGCTCGAGCATCGCCACCCTGCGGCTGAAGGCCAAGCAGCACGCCTCCGCCGGATTCGGCAGCCCCTACTCCGCCCCCTCGCCAGTCTCCCGGTCCAACTCCGCCGGACTGTCCGCCTGCCAGTACACCGGAGTGGGCGTCACGGACGTGGTCTGAGAAAACGCCCTCGGTGCACTGCTCAACCAGCACCAGCACCACTTGCAGCACTTCTCGGGCGGATCGGTGGGCTCCGGCGTGTCCAACGGGATGCACGGACAGCACGGCGGCAACATGTTGCAGCACAACAGCAATGCCAGCAGCCTCCTCCTGGACCACTCCGACTTGGGACTGGTCGGCGGAGTGGCGCCCAATCACCCCGACGAGGGCAACCACAGTCTGGAGGGCAGCAACAAATCCCCCATGGAGGCGCCTCTGGCCAACAACAGCAACAACAACAACAACAACAACAACAACGACAACGACGACGAGGACGTCATCGATTGAAAGCCCTAACTTAAATCCAACTAGCAGGCAGCCTAGCCCTAAGCATTCATAACTAATTTTAGATGTTTGCCTAACTAAAGATACATAATACGGATGAAGACAGTAGCGAGGAGGAGTCCCTATCCAAAGATACAATTTTTTGAAGAACAATAACTAAATTTATTTGCATTGAGATTAATGCCAACTTCGTTCGATCGATCCCTAACCAGGAATTAAGTGTTTTTGTAAATAAAAGCAAATACGTAGATGTAAGGAGCGGAACCCTAACTAATCAAGCCAAATAGCCAGCCCAAAGAACATATAGTCACTCCTAGTTCCACTTTCAGTTCCCCGTCGTATATATCGTATATATATATATAAACCAGAAACGTATCAGATTGTAAACAGCTAAGGCCGCGCCACTAAGGAAGGCCAAACTAAAGGAAAACCAAAACGAAAACTATATCAAGATGTAGCAGTTTTTAAGGAGTTGTCTAGTCGTATAGAGATCCCCATATGGCATATACTACCGTCTGTATATGTACATGTAATCCCCACTAAAGAGCCCGTATAAATATAAACTATTTAATAATTGTACACTTAATATTACTAGTTATAGAAATTGAATCAAAAGAACAATAAAAATATGGAAAAAAAGCACCCACACCGCGGCACAATGAATTACGAGGGCAAATTGCGGTCAACCGCTGGGATAACGGATGGCTTTTTCCCCGCTGGGAAAGCGGCGGAGTGGGAAATGGAAAAATTAAAAAATCAAATTGTAATTTACAGCCACCGGGGGGCAGGGCGGGCGATACATGCCAATCGCTTTTTTTCGGAAGGGGGGAACTTAATTTAAAGCAGCTTTTCCTCCCCCCAAAAAGGAGCCCTGCTCTCCCGCTTCCAGCTCTTTCGGGTGGTGGTGGTGGGCAAGTGCTTAATTCCAAGGTGGACCTGGTGCAAAAAGATCCATCCATCAATTTATTCATTACAGCGAAATTATGTCGCATTTATATGCACCCCGCCGACCACCGCCTAAGTGACAACCCCCCGGAAAATCACCGCACAATAAAAATAATAATAAAAGGACATCCGCGTCGAGGGGTTGGTTTTTGCTCGCTCCTGGTTCGAGGCATCAAATTTGAATTTCATATGCTGCCCGCCTTGATTGAAGGCGGCTAATAAAGTGCCCGAAGAGGGAAAATCGGGGGAAATGGGATTTCCCGCAGCGTTAAGCGTCCATTTAGGGGGAGGTGAAGGGGGCCAAACTGCGACCCGGCGACCATTTGATTTATTTTATTCCCCTTTGCCCGCTGTTAATGTTTTAATAAGATTGATTTTATTGCCGCCTCCGAGCGTGGGTGGATTTGGCCTGCTGGGGAGTCAAAGGGTTAATAAGTTGCTCTCCAGCTGTTTTAGTAACTCTATTATTGTCTCTATTCCGGCTTCTGCCTTTCAATTTGGTTTGAAATTGGCAGATCTTCTGGCCAAATTAAAGACATTGGTGGAGTTTTCGCTTCGTCCTCGCTATCAGCATTTATGTTTCGGCACACACACATACTCGCGTAATTAACTTTTCGGCGTAATTAATGCCGAGCCTAATTATTGTTAATCAAGCTCAGCCCGTCAACCAGGCAGGGCAGACCAAACAGGCCGCATAATGGATGAGCCGCAATTAAAATCAACTTCCTATATATGTTTATATATATATGAGAGTATATATATATCTTTGGATGTGGGTGCGGGGAAGCACAGCGATAGCAACGTGAGTCACGCAGAGGAGTATTGTTAAGAAAAACGAAATGATGTGCTGTGATGGGAAACATATAAATGCCTAAAGTCTGTTCATAACCAACTAATGTTTTGGATACAAAATTCTAGCTGAGACTTACCACTTTGAGGTAGTACCAGTAAAACCTTAAAACCTATCCTAAGAAGTTACAATTTCAGATAAATTTGTTGAATGATATCTTGCCTTCTTCTTATTTTTATAGCCTGCTTAGTAAGTACACGAATTAGAAAGTGTTTCATCTTGAGATCTTTTGGCATCTCTGAAACTTGTTGTTGGCAAAAGAAACGCCATCTTGAAACAGTCTTAAGACACGACGCATGCTGTCAGCCATTATTTGCCTATCCCACCCCCTGGATCTTGTATCCCTCAGCCATTTGGAGCCCCCTCACTTCGCATAGAGACAATCAGAGAACCAGTCGAGCAACCAGGCAAGTTCTGCTCTTGTTTTACTCGGAGCCCCAGCTCTTGGCTGATTCCCCATCATTTACTTTGTCAGTATGCGGCAGCTTCATCATTATTATTGCTGGCCCGCTTCTTTGTTTGCAACATACAAACTCGTCATCGTAATCATCTCCATCTCCATCGCCATCCAGCCAGCGTCATCATCATCATCATGGTCTCCATCTTGGGGCTGCTGTATTTTTCCCTTAGGTACTTGTCTTTCTTAACTCATTGCGTTGGCAATAAATCTTCGACGCTCTTATCTGCCAGGCACACAGTTTGGGTTCGGATTTGCCCCCCAGCCCCCAGCCCCCAACCCCCTGTCCCTGGATATCCCCATTAACTGACTTTCACTTGGGCCATATGTCAGGTCTTATTGCCCGTCTCCTCGAGAAGGATCTGTGTCTGTGGCACCTGCTTAGACAAAGGGTTTTCGGCTTAATGAGTCGACGACTATTTAAATTTCAATTGCTGAGCCGCTTTTACGGCAGCAGCTTTGGGCCTCATTAAATCGGCTGAAATATTAACTAGGGAAAGCTGAATAATTGTTCTCTCTCTCTCAATAAACAAGGCCCAGAAACGAAGATAATAACACTGAATGTCCCAGCTGCTGGCAAAAAATGATGGCCATAAAACTCGTCTCATATTTGACTGGCCTTTATTTATTTATTTCAAATTTACTTGTTGGCCATTTTATGATGCCAAATTTTGACCTAAATATCATAAAAATTGTAATCAAAATGTTTGCCCAGTTTATGGCTGACAAGAAGAAGGTCAGATGGGATGCTGGGTCAGGAGGGGAGCGAGGGATTCTAATAACGTCTAAACGCGAGTCCGGCCAAAAGGAAAGAGCCGGAAGGAAAGAGAAAACTGAGGCCGAGGGCTCAACGCTTATGGCTTTTTAATGGTGCCGTGTGTCGGTTTTGTGGCAAATAAAATGGCGCACATTAAAAGCGGGCCACCAGGAGGAGCTGCCCCGCCAATTGCAGTGGCTCCCGCATCCTGAACACCGACCTCTGGTCCCCCAGTCGCATATTGGGGTCATGCATGGCAGCCCCGGGTAAATAAAAAATACATAAAAATATTTTACGAGGCCCGAGGCCCGGGAATAGAAGGAATAGCTGGAGCCCAAGGAGCTGAAAATTATAGGATAGGATAGTCCACGGCAGAGGGGCAGGGCAGCAGATTGCAATAAAAATGGCGGCAAATAAAATTGACAATATTGTCATGCGCGCGATTTGATTTTGATGCCAGTGTGTGGGGGCTTTGGCAATCCTTGGACTTGGCAACAAAATGAGTAAATTTTAATTTACTTAAAAGGCATAAATAGCTCAGGGGAAGAACAGGCCTTTTGTGAGGCTGTTTAATGATGGCTTGTCCTTGCTTAAAATATGATATGATAATCAAGAAACCCATCAATAATATTCAAATAAATGATTATAAGAAAGTAAAAAGAAACTTTGTTAGATAGAACTCGAGAGAAACTGCCTATAAACACTCGGTAATAAACGCCTCTTTGGTTTTCTAAACCCTATAGTTATTTCCCATTTAATAAACTTAGTCGCGAGTCCTTACTTTTGTTTTATCTGCGATACTAACTTTTTATAGAGCAGCCTTGGTGTGGCTGGAATGTGCAGCAAGTTGTGCGCAAGAGCCGGCGGCAAAACGCTGAAAGGTTTGCCCCTTATCAGGGTGCCCCATTCGGGGAGTCCCCTGCCACGCTCGGAACCCCACCCCCTTTGTATCTTCGAGAGTGTGGAGCCAATGATTATTCCGGTTTTGTCATTTCAATTCGCATTATCCTTTGCACTTATTTACTACTTTGTGCGCTTCTGTTTTCCCCTGCCCTCCTCCCTTTTCGTGCCCTTTTCCTTTTTCCCAACTGTAACTGTAATTGTGCGCTGGTGTGGGTGGCTGGCAGGGCAGGGCAAAGAAAGAGGGTGTGTTTGTGTAATGGCGGGTTGCGGGTGTCCTTCCCCGCCCTCTCTCATCCTGCCGAGCAACTCGTATTGTCATTGTGCAAATAAAATATGTCACGAATCGCCCACTCCTCTCGCCGCATTGTGCTTTTTCGGTCCACCCCAGAAAAACCGAAACACGCCCCCTGCTATGTGTGTGTATCTAACCTTTGTGCCCATTGTAGTCCTTTGTGCAGGACTCACAGGACTGGCACAATGGGGGCAAATGTTTTGGTTGCTTACGAGCATCAAGAAATGAGAATCGCTTTTATATAAACTTGGCTGAATGAGGATGGGTGGTTGATGTGGTTAAGAGGAGTCAGCCAGCCTTGATTCTGCCTCGTGCACAGGGAGAAACACTTTGAGGAAACTCTTAAGTAAACGTTGGTCTTAGCTTGGAATAATAACAAGTGTCTGAAGAGGTTTCTGTGATAAGTACTTGCACGTTCCTAGAGTTTTCTATATATATAATGTACTAAATTTAGTTTTATCTAATCAAAGGATTCCTGTTACAAGGTATTTAAATTTCACTGCTACCAAATACCAAATTCTTTCACTTTGTTTCCCCTTTCCCCGCAAATTCATTCAAACGCTTTTCACTTGACAAGCCAGGGAAATAAACAAACTACACAGAAAGCCAATGCCAAAGCCAAATCCAAATCCATGATTTCAGCTGCCAAATCCTTTTCAAAGCTGCAGCCAGGTGAAAAATAACGAAATATTGTATTTTTCATACATTTTTATCAAATATAAATACACATACGTGTGGGAGGTGGCTGAGTCTGCCGTAGTGTGTGTGGGCCACCAACTACACAAGTTTATAAAAGACACTCGCTCGTCTGCCCTTTCGTTTTGTGTCTTTGTGTTGAGTGCTTTTTGGCTAAATGCGAAATCGATTGGAAAACAATTTCCAATTTTTAAAGAATTATCGCCGCCATATTCGCGCATGCTGTACTAAATCACACATAAGCAACCTCTAAATCTGCTACCCAGGACCTCTCGCCCGCTCCCTTCCCGCTACACACATGGGCAACCTTTTCGCAAAGCTTTTCCTTTTTGGCTCGTTTATTTCCTTTTTATTTTCCCTTTTCCCAGCTCCGACAATATTTTCCATTTCATTTTCTGCGCGGTTGGCAGCGCGTTTAGCTTTGGCTGCATGCCTGACTGACTTTCAGTTATGCTAAAAATATATACAGTTATACAGCGGAGGGCATAGAAATAGATACAGATGGATATTTAGGTATCTTAGGGGTTAAGTGCATCTATCCACCAAATACAACTTTATAGTTATGTGATTTGATTTCAATTTTCAACTTAACACCAAATTAAGTTCTGAAATTGTCGCTGCTATATGCATGTCATACAGGTGTACCCTTATGTGTGTTATCTCCACCGCAATAGCAACTGAGTGCGAAGAGGAGGGAGCTGGGAAGGACTGCCAACCCGCAGCCATTTAGTTTTATGTGCCCCCTTGGTTGGGTTATTGCACCTTTGACTCGACTCCAGCGCCATCTGAACGCCACTCCACCTTCGACTGGAGGTGTCACCCTGGAGGGCACATCCACAAAGCATTCCGCATGTGAGAGCCATTTATTATTATTTGCTTTCGGCAAATGTGAGCCGAACTCGGCCGCAAGTATTTCCTAATCAGGTTTTAACTACTAATAGGATTTCCGAGGTGGCGAATCGTAATTTACATGGCTTTGGCCCGAGATACCCAAAGAATTGAATTGGAATCCAGAGCAAAGCTGCCGCTAATGTATTGCAGATTATGCCAAATCCCTCGGGCACTTCCCAGCCCAGCTTCCACATCCTTGAAGTCCTGGGGCTCACACGTGCCCTAGCACTGAGTGGATCCAATCGAGACTCCACTCAGGTCCCTGAAGCGCCTGAACCGCTCGGCTCTCCTCTGGCGGAAGTAGCGCCTTAACTCAAACCCCACATTGCACACCACCAGGCCCATCATTACAGCAAGGATAATCCCGGCGAAGATCATCAGGAACCAGTGGAAGTAGCAGCTCATGGTCACCGGCTTCCGTAGCCAGGCGCTCCACGACGCGGTGCACTGCTCCTCCACACATCTTCCACGCAGATTCCGCACACATCCCTTGGCACAGCATCCGTTCGGACTGAAGCGGCCGCAGGCCGTGATTTCGGTGAAGGGATTGGAGCAGTTGACCGTCCCATTCTCCGCCGATATTCCCAGGATGAACTGGGCCAACAGGCAGCCCAGGGTCAACATATTGGCCAGCATATTGTAAGACATTCGAAAGTCATGTCTCAAACTCTATAGAATTTTGAAAATAATCAGCAAAGTTTGAAGAATTAGCCAAGGCTGACTGGATTTTCAAAATGTGTTTAATTTAAGATCGTTCATGGATTTTGAAGATATTCCAAAAAGCTTTCTTTATCAGATTTTCAAGTCCTTTATATATAAATATTATCTTATATAATTGTTTATATTTAAGCTACAAACTCGGTGACTTTAATCAAGAGATTATGTAACATCTTACTACTTTTCTTTGGTTCTTGCTTCGAGAAAAGCCTTGGCTTTTTCAGCTCTCTCCTCCGCCTCAACGGCCTCCTGTTCCTGCTCCTCCGGCTCCTTTGGCGTGATGTACTCCAAGGGATTTTGCTCTCTAGGTTTCGGGATGAAAGGAGCATGTGGCCAGACGGAGGGCTTTGCCTGCAGCAGCCACAGTTCGTCCAGCTGGCTCTGGAGATACTGGACTGCCTTCTGATGACGATTGGCCATGAAGTAGGCACAGCCCAGCCAGGTGAAAGTGATCACGACCACACAGGAGAGGATCAGGAGTTTGGTGGGGATGGATTCCAGAGCAAAACTTATGGAATTTGATGTCGTCTTCGGTTGCTCTCCCAGCACTTCCCCGAACAGCAAAATAAACCAGATTTTCAAAGCGAACTGGGGTTCCATGGCACGAATTTTGAGGAACTGAAGCTTGGAGGCTCGCTGGAGATGGCTTTATAGGCCGCGCTTATCGCTAAGGAACAGCGGGGCTTTCCCAGAAATGTTCCTGTGGGACAAAGTTTAACGAATCGGCAATTAGTGAGGCCTTGAAGGAAGTACATAAATACAAACAGTTATTTCTTATAAAATATATAAATATTAAATAATATATTAAATAATAATGCAGGGCAACTACTAATGAGACTACAAAATATTCCTTAAGGTAGACTTATCTAGCTAATACTAGTGAGCAAAACACATTTCATTTTCTTTTAAGTTCAACCCACTGTCGTCTCGAAAACAGTTTCATGCTTTCATCTGAGAGCTGTTATTACTTTCAGTTGATTATTGAATTCCGCAGGGCTCAATGATTGCGGCTGCCTCTTTGGGGGAGGGGGACTGGCAACAGGATCTTGATTGGAAGTGCCACATCAGCTCGAAGTGACTCGGAGTGGCTCAAAGAGACCGTAAACCGAATCGGCATGACAAAGTGATTCTAATGTAATTCGTGATTTTGCATAATTATAAAGTTAATAATTAAAATTGCTGCGTGCACAAAACCGAAATGAAAACATTAAACTTTAATGATGATTTCGGTCTGCCCAGGTGCATTCGGCATTTAGCATTTACGGGGTGGTGGGGGGAGTTGCCTGGCATCGGCAAACAACTAATACTAATGCGTAAATATTAGCAAAGCCACCCAACCCCCCCGTAAATTTGAGACACATATGCAGTGCGTTTGTAATAAGCAATCAATTATTATTATTGAATTTCGGGCATGGTCAGGTGCAAAGAGGGGGCGGCGTGGTTAGAGGGGGCTGCCACCTGGCAGCTGGTCAACGCCACTAATGCGTCTAATGAGAATTTAAGCACACTTCAACCCTCTCGGTCCGATTTGAGCCCAACCCCTCCGGAATTTCGGGCATTTTGCGTGGATTTGCACAGCCCACACGGCCCCCAAGTACAGTTGTGCTCGGCCAGAATGCAAATGCAAATACAATTACATTGCGAGTCCGTTTAGCGGCATTTCGGCTTTGCTTTTCATACATTTTCCAATTTCCAATTTGTTAGTCCGAACTGCACAAATCTGTGATTTGCGGTTGGGCTCTGGATTTTTCGGAGAGTGCAATTCAATTTGAAGTGGACGTAGGGTGGACTTACTTCGCAACCTTATTTATTGCTTATTTTAATATTGTTAGTTATTATTAATATGAAGTATTTTTAGATAGATAGTAAGTATTATTGTATCAAAGATTCAAAACTAAATGATTTAGGATACCTTTTCCAGCAGAGAAACCAATTTGATTCCAAAAACATATTATAGGGAAGTATCAAGAGCATTTATATACTTGTAAGCCCATTGAAAACTGGATGGCCTTTACTATAAGTGGATTCCCGAACTCCCCCGCCACGGCCCGCTTAGCTGGTTTCCTGGCCATGTGACCCTGCTAAACCGACATCGTTAATGATAATTTAATTATTGCCCGGTATTTCGGGCTTTGCGACTTACGCACTCCTGCGAACGGGAATCCTGCGGCCTGGCTAATTGCAGCAAATCTGCTTTGGGTCAGTTAGTCGTCCTTATTAACTGATAATTGCAATCACCCGGCTTTGGCCGCCACCAGGTGGGCAGGCTACCACCAGCAGCCTCCTTTGGAGGGCTCATAAAACATAAACCGGGCAAATCCGCGAATATCGCCATCCATTCCGAAGATACGGGATACGGGTTACGGGATGCAAACGGTGACAGTTCTGGGCGGAAATGCGATAGGAACTTAACTCGCAAATGGATCCGGATGGGGCATTGTAATAATAAAACAAAAGTGTCAGCCAAAGATATCGCCGGATATGCGGAATCCATATTGAAAATTGATTTAAATTTTTAATAGGCAGCAGGCATCAGGCAGCAGCGGCGGCGCTTTGATAAAAATGCCAGCACGCGGCAATCGAACAATCGAACAATCGCACAATCGCGGGCTTACCTCTTCGCAGGAAGATATATCCGGATCCGGATCCGGAGTGTCCTGACGGGGGCTCTAGTTAAATATGGAAACAATATCGAAATGCCACCTGAAATCGGCTGAAACTTGCAAGTGAATGCCAATGCCGAACGCGATATGAATATCTATATGGCTATATGGCTATATGGCGATATGGCGTCGCTGCCTGCATTTATATTTGTTTTCGGAGCTGTCAAATCATATTTTAATCTGTTTTGATTGCTGACTTTTGTGCGAGGGATTTGGCCCGGCTGCAGCTGCCACAGCGGAAATGCAGCGGAAAATATTGCATTTTATTTTATTTATGCAGAAAAACGTCGGGCGAATTTATATGGAAAGCTCGTTTGCTATCCTCTACTCTCCCCCCTCTCCACCGTCTGATTTTTCCGCATTTTCCGCTCGTGACTCCAGTGGCTGTGTGCGTTTTCCATTTGTTTCATTTGATGTGCCAGAGTTAAGCAGTAAAATCCACTTTTTACGAGTTGTCCCCGGATTCCTCTGCCGGCCACTCCCACTCCGCCTCTCTCCGGGAGCTTTGTGTTACTCATACGAACGTAAGAAAAACCAGCAGCACGCATTCGGTCGCAGAAATTTGTCAATAAAATATGGCAGCCTAGAGGTGGGCAGATTTTCGGAATATATTCTGAATAAAAATCTGCAATCAAAACACAAATGCAAGTCTTTAGTCTTGAAAGATGCAACTACTTTGAAAACCTAAGCTTGGCAAACTCTACTTACCTAATTTGTTATTATTTAGAACCATTTTTAAGAATCATATCATAGCATATATATGTTTTAGTAACTATCACTGTAGTAATTTTCTAACTAGAAGTTGCAGGGACTTGATCTCCTCTCTAGCAGGGCCATTTCCTCCCGTCTCGGACTTTCCCCAAACCCCTCTTCGAGCAGCTTTGGCAGTGACTTAAATTCACATAACCATAGATGCTGCCACTGGTCCTCGTCGCCGTCCTCGTCCTCGTCCTCGTCCTTTCCCTGCTCCAGCTAGATTGTCAACATATTAGCTTCAAATTGCTAAAGTTCTGCGACTTTTGCTGTTGCCTCATTTTCTCACGCACGCACATTGTTGCCCAGCTATCCCCCTCTCTTTCAGTCCACACACTGTCTCTCTCTCTGTTACACAAGCCCTGTCTCTGTCCCGCCGCCTGTGGGCATCATTGTTTAATGTGGTGTTGCCAACTATTTTAGCCAAAAGCTCACACGGGTTGCGCGGCCGGGTGATTTGCTTGCTTAGCTTAACGTGGCCCGGAATTCGAGAGTGAGAAGGAGAGGAGGGGGGCCTCCGGCCGTATTCCTGGCCGTGTCCGGCATCCAACGTCCGACACCCAACCATCCGGCTGTCCGCTCCCATCTCCGGCGGAATGCTTTCGCTTTTGGCGTTGAAGCATTCGGTTGACATTCGTGAAATCTCTTAAAATCCCGAAGGTCGTTGCCAGGGATTTTCTCAGATTTTGCTAGATTTAAATGAATTAGTTGCTTTGGCCTGGGCTGGTCGATTGATTTTCTGACCTTTTCGCTTTTTTCTGGCCCGCATAGGGGGCTTTCCTCCTGGGTGGAGTAGGCCAAATGCAATTTGGCTTAAGAGCAATTGCAGCCATGACTCACCATTAGCTGCAGCTGACCCCCGAACCGCATAACTCGCTCGGGAAATGAGTACAAATGGGGTTCCGCCAGGATGGGATGGCAAAATAATATGGATGAGGCCAAATTAGATTCGCGGCCAATGGAGAAAAATGTCCACTGCATTCTGCAAGTAATTAAAATATGAGAAAACAGTTTCACAGCTCTCCGGCATAAAATATTCCGGAGTCAACAAAGGATGTGAAGCGCCTGCACATCCTGTTGGTGGATGGGGAGAGTGCTCCTTTGCTCCGGCTGGTCAGGCTGTGGGCTTAAAAAAGCATCAAATTTCATATTCAAAATGGCACTTTACATGTTCAGCATAATTTATAAATGCACGCAGCGCCGGAAGAGCAGGACCGCCAGAGCCGGCTACAACAAACATGAAATGTGCTGCGGTGGCAATATTTTTGAAGCAACATTGTCGCCACTCCGGAAAAGGGGATCGTGCAGAGGGGGAGACGTGGAAGGAGGCAGGCCAGGAGCAGGACATCGATGGCAGCGTTGCTGTTGTCATTCGTCGCCTTGTGTAGCTGAGGGTACAACGCCTATGACGTCGGGTTTGAATCGACTATGGTAAAGGAAAAGGATATAAAAATATATACATTATATATATATCAGTTATGTTCTTAAAACTAGAAGGTAAAGGTCAGACCTTCAAGTCAACCTACCACTTAAAGTTAAGGCATTCCTGCTTCGTGGTTCCAGGACTTGCGGCCAGTTTATCCTGGTGTGGACGTTGCAAACAGCAAACATGCCGCAGTCCTGTTCCTGCCAGCCACTCCAGCCTGCCCCACTCCCAACTCCCCTGTCGTTCAACCCTTTGTCCAAGGTGTGTGATGATTTTAATGGCCTCCGAGGAGGCAGGAGGGGCAGTTCGGAGCGGAGCCAGGCCAACATGTTGAAAGGATTGCTGCGAGTTACGCCATGACCAGGCCTACACAGTGTCCTGCCACCCGTTCTCCAGCCCGGCCATGTCCTGCCACAGTTGATTGGCTGTTATTTTGGGTGTTGACGCAGCCGGAGGAGGCGACTGTTGAAATTTGCATATCAAAAACGGCCAGGACATGGCCTCTCTCTCCCAGTGTGTGTGTGGGTAATGTCCTTTTGCAGGATCTGGCTGTGCCAGCGGCTCTATGAATTTATGAACATAATATAAATTTATTTTTGCAAACTTTTCATGTTTTTGTTTGGGCCACCGAAAATCTGCATGCCACACCCATAGCGGCCCCTCACCGCCTGCCCACCAGGACAACAAAGGGATTGTTGTGTCAGTTTGCATACATGTGCAAGGATGCACACATCCTGACTGCCTCTGTGTGTGTGAGA